TGCGGACGCCGTCTCACGTCAGGCAAAACGACGCCTGCTTTTACATCGGGAATTATTAGGGATTTTGAGATTTGCACGACGAGAACATGGACTGCCACGTGTGACATCCTTTTAAGGCACTGCCGGGCACTACCAGTGCCTTAAAAGGACGTCACATTGCCTTAAAAGGATGTCGCATGTAGCAATCCACGTTCTCAACGTTGATCTAAAGTTCCTATTCTCTTAGAGGGATCGTTTAACATTGTTAAATCTGAGATACACGGTCCTACATGTTACCAATGTCTGTGAGATGGTGTAATATTGAAGCTCTAAAAAAAATCGCGCTTCAAAATGATCAAGAAATGCCTCAAAAAAGTAAAAATCTTTGAGTGACCGGTTTTACCATACTCATTTCCCCAATAGACTGTAGTGTTATGAAAACCGTTCGGCGAACGGTTTTCAAAATTTGTAATTCCAATCATTAATATCTTGATAATCAGACAGGCGATCGGCTTGTAAAAGTTATGGAGTTCCTGACTGACATAAAGGTTTATAATTATCATTGCAGCATGAGCTAAATCAAGGATCATTTTTAAAGGTTCTAAGACAAAGTTACCGGATCCCTTTAACTTGCCTTTGTAATGCAAGTTAAGTTCATTCAATCACATTACTAATTAAAACCAATATATAGATGAAAGAGTTTGAATAGACTAAAGCCTACTTTGGTTATAAATAACCCTGATTAGACACAGAGAGAGGAGATAAATTTAGGGGTGAGGCGGAGTCATAATGTTTTATTTTTGTCTCAGTCTCTCAGGTCTCAGTACATCAATTTTCGAAACTAATCTCCTAAATTGGTTTCGGTATATGGTTCTCGCTATTAGCCCCAACGCTAAATTTGTCCGCAACAACTTAACTTGAAATTATTATTCCTCTATGAATGCATGCTCGTATAATTGGGTTCACTAACATCAAATACTGTTTGGGGAAACATGTCACTGGTATTCAACACGGGGTAACTCGATTTTCCTTAAGGTTAATTTTCCCACAGGTTCGTAATTCCAAAAGTTTATAATTTCGAAAGTTTATTTTTTCCGAACGCTTATTTTCCCGAAGATTCGTTTATCCGAAGTTTCATTTTTCCAAAGGTTCATAATTCCGAATGTTAATGATGCCGAAAAACAAAACTTCCACACCAGTGCGTTCATAATTCACAAAATGAAATAGGGTTGATAATTCCGAACATTTTGATGGTTTACTCTGAAGGTTTGGTCCTCTGAGAGTTCGTAATTCCAAGAATGATATGGAGATATAACTCAGAAGGTTCTTATTTCCCCAAAATTAAATATGGTTCATAATTGCGAGAATAATGAAAAAGGGAACCGTAATGAAAAAGGTTTTTTATAATTCTTGAAAATAGAATAGGGTTAATTTTTCCGAAGGTTCGTGATTATAGAAAAGATACAGAATACAAATCTGTGTAAAAAGGAATTATAAACCTATGGAATCCTTAAAGCTCTTTCATTTTCGGAATCACGAACTCTCTTCGATTTTAGGAATCGATAACTTACAAAATTACTAACCTTCGGTTTATTAACCATAGTGTCCTTTAGTTACGTAATTTAACTGTCTTCATGCACATTTCTAAATACAAATTATTTACCACTATACACATAGAAATTTAAGCTTCCAAACTGAATTGAAGTATACAGGAATAAATCTGATATCAGGTATCATTAATCTTAGGTACGACATAATCAACCTTCCGGTTCCCAAATTGTTAATTTCTGTCACAAAATACTCCCTGACCCCCACCCCTACTCCTCTCCTTGACTTGTTGCAGAGAGCGCGGCTACACAAAATAGTTTTTTTGTGTGAGATAATGAAAAAATGAGTGTCAAATTTGAAAGAACATACAATTTTAATGACAAATTCATCTTCGTTTAATCAAAATCGGTTCAAAGACGGCAGAAATATCCATAAATATAACGATTTCTAATAATTGAACCAGCCGTTGAAGACATGAGATAGCGCCTTATACGTTTCATTCCAATCAATGCCGATGTTGGCTTTTTGGTGGCTTTCTGGTAGTGGTTATAATACGCACAACCAACCGGCCCATGTATTGATATTATTAATTGATTGATTAACAGTCACCGTATTTGTTGAAAGTGGTGCTAAATTGGTATGATCGTATTATTTGCTAAAATTCACACAATTTGGGGTCTAACATTACCTTCATAGCAATTTTAGGTCTTAAAAGGGCACTAGAAAGGTCATAAATAAGATTAAGAGCAATAACCATGCACGTTGAAGGCATTTTCAGTCTGAAACAAGAACTCAAAGTTCCCTGTAATGTTTTAGAGAGATATATTCCTATGTTGCACTTTTCCATCGCATCATGAGCGTGATGGAATACCAGGGGCCCATGGTTGCCATGAAGACATAAGTGACATTTGCACGATCATCAAAATGCCAGTGCTGTCTAAAATGCACCAGCATTTCTAAACAATAATCTTGTACCGTATCATTTACAAATGAACCAGAAGTAATTGATACCTAACATATGTTTTAGTATCACGCACACCTTTCTACGTGAAAGACTGTTTCAACTGATTTCTTAAACATTCATAATGCCTCTATATGGAAAGGAAAATCGCGGTTTAACCACACCCTTTTTGACATTTCAATCAATGTGGTTTTTTTCTTCTTCTAATACATACGCGGGTGTCTATTACTGAAGAAAAAAACGCTGGAAATGAACAAATCCATTCTGCTTCAGTATATGGTGAATACAAAACACAAGACCGATAATATAATTCGATGTCAGAACTTCACCTAATATTACAAACATCATCTTGACGTCGAATAGAAAAATCCGTTGAATTGAAAACAGTTGCTATTAAGAGCTTATAAGCTGTAAAGTTGATAGGCCGTGTTAACGATAAAATAATGAATTATAATATAAAGCAACTGTTTAAACTTTATTAACCTATCCACGCGGTTTACTATCAAGAGAATGGTGGATAATTTTCAGTCCGAAATTAAGGAAAGTTTAATCTATTCATTCATACATCTTAAATATGCTAATTTGATATGGATATGTCTATCCACTTCATGATACATTAAAAAAAAAATCATCAACAACATTGGCAAGGTAATATTTTCAACATAGAAATTGCGCATCATTAAGACTGTGAATAATCAATTTGATTATCAAATCCATTAAACCAATCTTGCTCTTTCAAGGCAACCAGTTGAAAAATGGATATTGAAAATGACCCACGTTTTATTTTTAATGCGAAAAACTCCCTTTTCCCTTCCATACCATATCCCCCCTTTCCCATTCTATCTTCATTACCTACTGCTTGTAACTGTTATCTGCACACCGCTTTGCCATCATCTTTGTATCTTCCATTGTACGCCTTTTCTCTCTATCCCCCCTCAAATTTCCATGACAAAGGTTATTATTCTCGTTTCAAATCTTAATAATCGGCTTTAATGCAAACTAGTTATTTATTTTACAAGATAATTAAAGAAACGTCACACAGTGAAAAATGTAAATGGAATCACACCACATCTCACATTTGTTAATTTGAGCAAGAAATCATACCCTTCACCAAATTTAAAGCTTGCCGACATAAAAACATAGACAATTGATATTCGACAAATTTGTTTTGTTACCGCCTAACAATAACCGAACAACAGCCAACCATTCGCCAATATTTTTACGAGCGTTCGCAAATCATTTTACGGAAATCTTTGATAATCGGACAATCTTCGTACGACATGCATCAACTACCTTGCAAACCATCAGCAACTGATCACCTACCATAAATTCTTGCAAATTTGTTGTCGATTGTCGCAATTTTTTCTATTTTTCAGAAGTTGGCAACCGGTCGTGAGTCTATAATACGAATCTGTAGCCGATGGGATTTTTTATTTGCAAATAGAAGGGGAAAAAGATCGCAAAAAGCTGTCTGTACAGTACACTTTAAAAGTGAAAAGATTTGATAATAGCCTATGTCTGACAAAATCGTTCTGCATTTGCATCACTAATGCGAAGTTCTGAATAGATATCAACGTACCATTGTAATTCATTCCTCTGGATCAGTTAAAGGTCATAAAGATAATTCTAACCATGATTCGTAGTAACAATGGTAGGATAAACATCTGTTACCTCATACCATAATGAGTAAGTTCAATTTAGGGTTTATTATATTTTCATAAGTTGCTTTGACTTTGAAGTGGTACGACCGAGTATATTACATCGCAGCACATTGGATATTGAATCGGCGAGCACGCATTGCTAATACGTACCCACTATCGAGATTTTGAATTCAACAATTATAATGCGATTGCGAAGCATACACTGATTGAATTCACCAGATAGGTACAGTATGTATTCTCCACCCGTACGTGTTATCATTTAAGATGACAGTGTGTAAGCTGCTGAGGATTGTGCCAGTGGGAACTTTGGTGTACATTAACGCCAAAGCATTGACAGGGAGCGAACGGTTTAGTTTGCGTTAGGGTTCATGCTCAAACACATCTACATCTCTGCGTCACGCAAGTCGTATAATTGTCGTCGTTGCGGAAATAATAACTTGCAATCCGCAAAGCTGCCATCAGTGGTTTGCTGAGTGTCGGAGAGTTGGATGCAAGGAGAAGCTGGTAGACCATCCAAAAACTGATTTCTGTCATTCTGTCACTGGTGACTTGACAAGCAAACCTGCTCTTCAGTCCTCTTCAGAAAGACATCATTGATTCACTGTTACCACATCTGATGCACCTGTGAGCTTTTCAATGTAACTTTGCACTTGGAAGGAATGCGGAAATAATAATTTTATTTTGTAAGAAGCTACTTGAACCTTTAACGTCATAGGCGAACAAGGGAAACTACACAAAACAACGACGCCTTTGGTGTAGATCAGAACTTCATCGCCTGAATGCTTTAGAAGTTGGACACCCGCTTTCAGGCATTTTATAGGATCAGAACTGTGAATACTTCGTTTGCAAACATGGCAAACACGGGTCTTACAATTCCCGATGAAGGTTACGACTTATCGCAGAAGAAATTGAGTGTCAACCTTAGCAATGTATCTCTGGCCGGTATTCAAAATCCCAGTGCTGACAAGAAACAATCGGCCCTGGTTTCCTTCAAAATGGGCATTTGCAACATCTCACCTTATTCTCGAACAGGGAAACACCTCCAGATCCTGAAGATGGTCCTGTTTCCACTTCTACCCGCTGCGGCCTTGCTGATATTCGTCAGTATCGAACTGGACAGTACCTTGCGTGAACGGCAGAAACTGGATGCGTCCAGGACAGAAATAGCCCTCACAAAAAGCGTTGGGGAATTGATCCACAGCTTACAAGTTGAACGCTCGCAAACCACTCTGTTCATGGTACAATCCCACAACCTGACGCCAACTGAATCCGTAGCTTGGGATGAACGTCTGGAGGAGTGTTTTAACAAAACAGATGAAGCACTAACAAACCTGCCAGAATGGCCTCTAAGCAACACTGTAAGTTCTGATTCTGCTCTCTACGACTCAAAGGGGACGTTCCAGTCGCATTTGAACGAAGAGCGAGTCATCCTCGGTTCCGTTGACGTGGCAGAAGAGATCCTCTTCTACTCCAAAATCAATGAGATTTTGATTGATTGGTTCATATATGCCATCCGAACGAATGTCCACGAAGGTCTATGGAATGAGATCGTGTCCTATCAGTTCTTGGTCCAAGCGAAAGAGAACGTGGGACTCCTTATGGCCTACGGCGAAGAGGCCTTTTTAAATCGCACTCTCCGAACTGAGGACTTTCTCGCCTTCATGCGAAACGACGTCCTCCTAGTGTACAACCTCGCATCATCTTTTAAATTTTCCGGCGACTACGCCAAAGATGTGTACGACAGCCTGATCACGAGTTCTGGCATTGCAACCACTGTACAAAGCATGCGGGATGAAATCGTACATACTCTCAGTGTAAACTCGTCAGGTATAATCACCTTATCATCAGCGCACTGGTTCGGGAACCTCAGTGGATACCTCGATGGCCTCAAGAAGGTTGAGGACGTCGTCATTAACCACATCGATGATATCATCGATAAGAGCATCAGCGCTAATGTCGACGAGGTCGTCATTGACGGTATCCTCTTCGGGATCATCGCTCTCGTGGCACCCATCATTATTTTCTTTGCCATCAGGACGACGTCGAAGATCCAGGCGTATGCCTTCGGACTGACCGTCAAGACCGAGCAGCTGGCCAGTGAAAAGAAGAGAAGTGATTCTCTGCTTTACAGGATGCTGCCTAGAACTGTGGCCCAACAGCTCAAACTCAACCTGACGGTCCCTGCCGAGAATTACGACAGCGTCACGGTGTACTTCAGCGACATCGTGGGTTTCACCAAGCTGTCAGCCATCAGTAGCCCAATGCAGGTAGGTATTTCAATGGAAGAGATGATGTTGTTAGAAATAAGAGGCCTTTGGTGAACCGGAGTGTTGGCTCAGTCAGTAGAGCGTCCGCCTCACAACCGGGAGGTCGTGGGTTCGAACCCCGGCCGCGTCATACCAAAAGACGTTAAGAGATGGGAGTTGTTGCTACCTTGTTTGGCGTTCAACAATAAGGGATAGAGCAACGTCGATCTGGCGCTGCTCAGTGGCTGCCGGGCTCACGATCAATTGGGCAAAAAGAATTTCCGTTTCGGTTTAATAAAATTTGGAGTGGACTATTAGGCTATTATTATTATTATTATTATTATTATTAAAATCAATTAAAATAAAAAGGAAAAAATTGAAATAAAAATTGAATCGAAAAAATGAATTAAATATTTCTATTTTTTGTTTTCAGACATACATTTCAATGTATATGAAAGTAAATTTGGAACAATTTTGCTAGTTCAGTGTACACAATTAAAACGTGTGAAATGATCTTAACATGCTGAATGTTGTGAATTTAAAATTCAGAATTTACTTTGCAAAAGTGAGTGATCGAATTTAATTTGGCATGAGGACGTTATATCATTATTTAATATGCACAATTAAGCAGGAACGGAACATTATTACATGTATTAATATTACCATTTGAGTATGTTATGCCCATCATTATTCTAACCTTGAATTGTATTTCCGCAATAGCAATGTTTTTGACCTTAATTCAATCACTCCTTTGATGAGACGGACATAACCTTTAAAAAAAAGAGTCCGTTATGTAAAGATGAATATCTGATTTTTGAAAGTGAAAAATATAAATCACGCAGTGTTGATAAATCAATTTATTGATCTGTAAACAAAATAACAAAATAAAATAAAAAGACAATGACAACAACAAACAAGGAAAGAAACTATCTGCACAACCTTTCTTGATTAATACTTCAGGTATTAATAATCCGCAGTTGTCACTCTCAATCCAAATGTAAATGACTACCTGGCAATAACTGGGATAAACAATATTATTGTCGTTATTATTATTATTATTATCATATTAATATTCAAAATTGCATTATTGCCGAGTCAATATAGCGCTTATGGTAGGGGTCTTTGAGATGTACATACAGCCCAATAACATATTGCATGCTAACACAAAACGTTTGTTTGAATACAGAATTCAATAGATGGGTCACTTGTAGAGAGAGAGAGAGAGAGAGAGAGAGATAGAGAGAGAGAGAGAGAGAGAGAGAGATAGAGAGAGAGAGAGAAAGAGAGAGAGAGAGGGAGAGGGGAGAAAGAGAAAGAGAGAGAGAGAGAGGGGAGAAAGAGAGAGAGAGAGAGATAGAGAGAGAGAGAGAGAGAAAGAGAGAGAAGAGAGAGATAGAGAGAGAGAGAGAGAGAGAGATAGAGAGAGAGAGAGAGAGAGATAGAGAGAGAGAGGGGGGGGGGAGAAAAGGGAGAATTTACAGAAAGAAAGAAACAATATCAATAGCAAACATTCTGTTCTCAATTATTTGACTAACCGAATTTTCATCAGGGAGAATACTCATGTGTAAACACTCTCCACAGATTGTGAACGTTCCATAATTCAATTCAAATTCATTTAATTTATTTATTCAACGTGATTACGACACTGAAATTTGCTCACTCTAAGAAAACAGAATGTTCTCCAATGGGTAGCGATAACAACCAGCAAAGGGAAAGCATGGAGAAGAGTGGCGATTTCTGTCTCTTTTGCCCTCTTTAATTAATATGTTTCCACTGTTGTGCTGTGAAATTCATATGATTGAACATAAAACTTCCTGTGTTCACTTCAGATAACATAATTAGAAAGGCAGTACTATGATCCATACTTTAATGTTTAAGTAATAACTCAAAATATCCAACTTTCCCTCCATGTTTATTTAACTGAATCAAGGTGTTTCATACATGAGTGTAGTTTAAGTACCCCGGTTAATTTCTTGAAATAACATTACCAAAAAGTACACAAAGTACACAAATTTCATTATTCAGAAAAAAATTTATTCCTGTGTGCCCGGAAATCTGCATTATTATTAATACGAATTGCTCTTTTTTTGTAATATAAAAAGTCTATTACTTTGTGAAGATGCTACACTACTACCCCAGGCGATAAGTCCGTAATTCAAGTAGAATAAACGTGGAATACATGAAGGATAACATAATGTTCGAAACATTTGACAAATACATTTGGATATACTTGTATTTCTTGCCGCATTGAACATAAATGGCAGCAGAGGTTGAATTTGAAAGGATCAGGTCTTGCTAGAAAAGTTTCCTATTTGAATAATGGTTCGAAGCGTAATGTTATCAGGGAGGCTATATATGCACCATCTGTTGATGTATTCTGTTGGCTATCAGTTGGACATGCAACGGAATTTATTCCTATTTTTAAGTTACAACTTTTTTTAAACCCATCTCGTTTGCTGGCTCTGCCCCTTTCTTCCTAGTTAAAATCTGGGTGAGTCGCCTTTTCAACTCGGCCGCTCACGAATGTTGGGTATTATAGTTATGCTATTTTTCTACCTATTCTTTTTTGTTATTTCTACAAGTCGGTTGGTATTTTGATCGAGTGGCTCAAACGAATCTCCTGAGACCACGAAAGTGTTTTTGAAGAAATTCACCGGGATTATAGGCTATAGTGTGATTTGTTTTCAACATTTGTGGGAATAAGGTCTATCTTAACTTTTGTCATGACAAAGGGTGAATATGAAAAATGAGAAAGTACACAGTTGCGTGTTAATGGAAATTAAGTCTAATTTGGAATAACAATTCAAAGGCGTAGCACATAAGGAAGAAAGACCAAACATACCGGAAAAAGTGCATGTGAGGGTATTGCCCGGCTCTGGGGTCAGTGTGTGTTTGTGTGTGTTTTTTAAGGGGGAAAAATGGGGGAGTGGGAGAGGAGGGGGAAAGAGAGATATAGGGAGAGGAAAGAAGAGAATTATTTTTAATTTTAATGCAGGAGTGTTAAAAAAGTGAGGAGGATGGAGGGAGAAAGAGAAGCAAAAGGAAGAGACACAGAAAGATGTGAAGAAGAAGAAAAAATACTGGAGAGAGAGGGTGGGAGGGGGATGAGTTAGCAAGAGCGGGGGGGGGGGGGGGTTAAGGAGAGAGAAAGAGAGAGAGAGCGAGAGAGAGAGAAATACAGAGAGACATAATGGAGAGAGCTTTAGATGCTTTACTTCACTCTGTATAGAGAGAGAGACACACACACACGCACACACACACACAGACAGACAGAGATACTGAGAGACAAGGGAGCGGTGGGAAAGAAAAAAAAATGAAAGATTAAAGCTTGTGTGGGGGAGACAGTCCCCTAGAGAGTCCCCTAGCCTACGCCTTTTAAGGGAATATTACTGCGTGACATATTGTTTACGACCCCTTGACTTTTAGAGATTGTGTAGGAAGAGACAGGAAAAGACCAACTGTAGCTGAATCTATTATTGATTTTGTAACCGAGCAGAACGAAAGACGTCTTACAGCCCGATAAATTACGTTCTAAAAATAGCAATAGTTAGGAAGTGAACGTCATGATGTACCTTTAAATCATCATGACTTTAAACCTGGGACATTTCCGGACTGAGTCAAAATGCTAACAATAATATAACAATTGAATACGAAAAAGTAAAGTAAATTAAATAAATAAGTGGGAAAATGCTAATGTAGAAAATATTCAATTGCGGATCCGAGCTTATTTGCAGGTGAGGGAAAGGCAAATAAGCCTAAAAAATACAATTGTTAAAGAAATATTTGACAAGAAAAACAAACTTCATGGGGGAAAACAAAGGACAAAAAAGTACCAGCGTAAGACGCGTTAAAAAGACACACCCTGTGTCCTCGTGGATCTGCCACTAATAAGAAATATCTTGAAGCAGGATGAAATGTGTAACATTTCTAATTTTCAAAAATACACCATTTTACATATTTTACAAACCTGCAATTAGCAAGTAGACAAATTGATATAACAACGGTAAGGTCATTCTTTCAATTTGCTTAAAGGGAGGCTTTACTACTTCAGCCAGAAGGGATTGGCCACCCAGTGAGCCAGCGAGGTCACTGTGACAGGTGGCTATCTCTTTAACTCAGCTCTCATTTAACATAAGAAAAAGAGGATCATGGGGGACCAACAGGCACCGATTTGGGAAGTTTTCTATATAGAGGGAGCAAGTAGCTACAAGTAGGACAGTGTGCCTTTAAAAGGAGTACAGACTGACGTGACTACGTGTCTTTCCCGTGGCCTGACTCAGGGCCAATCGGGTATCGACTACGGACGACGCGACCACAGCAATCACGTGCGTGCAACATTCGCGAAACCGAAACGTGAGGAGAACTTCGGTCTGTTTCGCGAACGCTAACCATGCAGAGATTAAGTCGCTGACTACCGTTAATCAAGTCCATTCGTTTACATACAGTTGGTCAAAAGAAGACGTAGATGACGTTAACCAGTATTTGCCAAGGTACACAGCCTTTAATAGTACACATTGCATGCCCTCAAGTTTTGTATCTGCGCTGACGAGCGGATGAGCATCAATAAATTGCTTGCACAACCACTCCCCTTTTGTTATTCATAAGATAGAGAATAATAGTACTGTATCGAATTTCCTCCTTTTTCCCCTTTTCCCGATAGTGGAAAATATGAATATTACAAATATAGGGTTGAACTATTATGGTACGCTCCAGGGTATTCGCGATCCGTTCATCTATTGCCCAGCGTCTCATTGGATCACGTAATTATGATGGGGGCCTATTGTTAAGATAATAATTATTTGCAGATAAAAAATCCAGGCCTTTCTAAACAGAAATACATGTTCGTGACGCACTGTATTACTCGTCCACATAACACGGCAAATAGTTTCTGGGAGGGCATTGCAAATAATTCTCTGAAGTTAAGATCACAATGTCACGAATACATAGGCTGCTCCTTTACGATAGTAGAGAATATTTTTGAAGTTCAAGGGGCATTAAAATGAGTGTGAAACTTTATGTCT